TACCATTCCTAATTTATAAAGGGGGCAGTTAGGGCCAAGAGACAGAAAGGTGGAAGGGCAGCCCATGACCCCTGAAGCCACTGTGCTGGCTCAGGGTCCTGCCAAGGCTTTGATCAGGATAGCTGGGGAGACTGGGCTGAGGTGGAGTCTAACAATGCACTGACAGTAGTAAAGGAAGGAACCTTGGCTGAGAGAGGGAGGTGTGTATCACTGGTGCCCAGAGTGGCGCTGGGCACATGAAAGGGATGTTACTCATGAAATCTGAAGCGAAAAGCTTAGCTGTGTGCATGTGAAGGCAACACTAGGCATTTAGACCTATGGTTGGTGGAATCATGCCAAGAACGTTTCTGGGTGTACAAGTGTCATGAGAAACTCATGATAAGTGGAGAGTTACCAAGAAGGCAGTATGAGGTAGCCAGAGGAGCCTGGAACCAAAAGAAGTGGGTTTTAATTTTATCTCTTCAGCTCATCTTGGACAGAACATTTTTGGTTGCTAATATTTTTATGTGCAAAAGGAGAATAAAACCACGTTGCTCCTGGGGTTGTCACAAAAACTAAAGAGAATATGATAATCATAGATGGAATAGACATACACACATGCAAATATGCCTGGGCATATATGAGCATGAAGAAGAATTATGTTACATAGCACCTAAAAGACACAGTATATGGCTCAGAAAGGTTAACTTGAAGAAGTGGTAGTAAACCAAGAACCTGCCTTGTTTAGTACTGAGTGTGGGTCTACATAAAGGTGATTTAGACATTCATTTAGCAGATGCCATCTGTGACCTCTAGTAGTCCTGGAGCTACACAAAACCTCAAATTACTATGTAGTCTGCCCTTATTCTTCATCCAAATCAGCACTACCAGCTCAGCCAGTCACCCTATCCACCAGCTCTTATCATTTTGGCTTTTTGTAAGAGTTTTCTAATTTTCTTAATGGGGTGGATGTGCCTAACATCTTTTCTCTGTTTCTAGTGGTGGCTCCTACACAAAAGAGTGCCCAAGCAATATAACCTGGTGGCAAAGGTAAGAATTTTTAAAAGGCTGAGATTCCCTTGTATGCATAGTTCCTGGCTGTTTCTTCCTTTCTAGAAGATTCCTTCTACACAGAGTGTCATGATCTGTTTTGTGACTCTCTCTCTCTTCCTTTCTCTCTGACTAGTACATTGACCCCAAGCAAGTTTTTTTTCCACTTTCCAAAATGAACAGGCTGCTGTATAAAGTAGAAATAATTCTAAATACTTGTAGTGATCATAGTATTATAAGGTATTGTTTCTAAAATGTTTCTATCTTTGATATACTAGCTATCCACAGTATTTCCAAAAAGCAATGAGTTTAACTTGGACATGAAAATACAGAAGAAAAATGGGGTCTTTGTGTTCCAAGAAATCAGAGAACAAGATTTAGCTAAGCCTTCCCTATTTATCATTTATAAAGGAAAACAATCAATAAACATTAACTGAGCAAAGAGAACAAAAACTTACATTTGTCTTATATAGAATATCACAACGTTATTGACCAGGAGACCCTGGGATACATATTATCTGACAGTGAACTAAGCAGCATTAGGTTTGTCTCCAGACACGCAGTCTGTTTTACAGAAGTTGTTCTCTGGAGTGCTTGGTAGCCTTTATCTTTCAGATCCTCAATAGCTCTGAGGAGCACTCAGCTACATCTTATCAGGCAAACTAGAGAACATGTGGTTTGTTGAGGTACTATAGCCACATCAGGATCTTCCATCAGGGTCCTCAGGACACCTCAGGCTGAAACAGCCTTTACATCTGCCTCATCTATGGAATAAGTAAAAGCTGTGCTGGATGAAGTCAGAGGCAATAAGGGGAAGACCTCCAAATCCTGAATCTGGAGAGGACCAAAGGCTTGAACCCAACTTTTGTCTGCTCAGCTCCTTCAACCAAGTGCCTCTGGCTGGGAGCAGAACCCCATCTCCCTCAAAGAGGGTTGTTTCATCACCAATCACAGAGCCCAGTCAACTCTCTGTAAGCAAACAAAATCCCACAACCCTCCCCACAAAAAACTAAAAATAATGCATACTTGAAACCTTAGCAACAGCCCACTTCATGATTCTCCTTACCCTTAACTCAATCACACAACAAAGAATTAATCTTCTTGCTTAAATAATCACTTCTGACCTCTCATTAAAGTATTTACTGATGTATTATGAACATACACATACTGCATGGCAGACCATGTTCTAAGATGTTGCAAGTATTAACTTATTTTCATTTTACTAACATGAGGTCATCAGTGGCTCAATCAAAGCTGCATCAGTAAAATGATCAGGAGTGAGTGAAAGCAGAGGGACTAGACAGGAAACAGATTATTTTTGAGGAACTTTATTCTAAAGGGGAGAATCTGAAAAGGGTAAAGGGAAGAACAGAAATGGGATAAATGGGATGAAGTGGATGTGATCACAGAAAGTTGTCCCTTGTAAACATTTATTTATGTTTGTATGCATGCGTGAATGTGGAGGTCAAAGGGCAAATTGCAGTAGTAGGTTCTTTCCTTCCACTACTACAATGTGGGTCTCAGAAACTGAACTCAGGTTATCAGCCTTGACAGCAAATTCTTTACCTTCAGAGTTACCTCCCTGGCCCATGCTTTGTTGATAAGGCTTGGGAGTCTCTGTATCATGTTGGTGTGTACTTTGGAAAGCTCCAGCAGAAGAGGAGAAACAAAGACTGGGTAGACCTTGCTTCTGGCTAAGCTCTTGCTTCTCTACAGGAGTACTTCCTCTAAGTGGCCAGGAGGCAGAATGAGGTAGTGAGAAGTATTTTCTCAACAAGGTGTTTCTTCAGTCAGGTCATGATCCCTTCCCCACTCCTTTCCACTCTCTCATTTGCTTTCTACACCCACACTTCTTGGTTGCTACTGGGCTTTATATATAGAGTATGCTGTGATTAGGGTCTCTTTTACTCAAGGAAAGCAGCAATTTTTGTTTGATGTTGACTACTGAAATGCAACGTGAGACAAAGTCATCTGGACACACAGAATGACTGGTTATGGAGAAGATGAACACTTCACTCACAAGGGTGTGCACAGTACAGACTGCAGACTTCAGGTGTTGACAGGTGTGGTGAGGCAGCCGCACCCTCTTCTGGCTTCTACTAGATAGATATAGAATTCTGGGTTAAGAGTTTGTGACATTGCTTCACTATCTTCTCATTTCCAGAGTTGTAAAGTCTTAGCCACCATTGATTCTTAACTTTTGGTACAGGAACTACTTTGTCTCTGCCCCTTGGGCTTGGCATCTTTTTTTTTTTTTTAATTGTTTCTTTTATATTTTAAATATTCTTATATTTTTAAATTTTTTTTATTTCTTTATAACTTATTCACTTTTTATCCTGATTGTAGCCCTCCATCTTCTTTTTTTGTCAAAACTTTTTGAAATAGATCTACATATAATCAATCTTCTGGAACGTTTGCTTGAGAACTTTCATAATAAGATTATTAACTATACTTACCAAGTGAAATATTAAAATATAAATAAAAAATTGTGTTAAACATACAGCAAAAGTTCTTATTAACACAATATATGAAGAACTCACTCTAATTTATGAGAAAAACCTCAGTCTGGGCATGGTGGCCCACACTTGAATCCCAGGCTGAAGAAGGAATGCCAGCATGAGTTTGAGAGCAACCTGGGCTACTTAGTTCAAGACTAGTCTGGATTATAAAGCAAAAACCCTCTCACAAACAGACAAAAATAGGATTTGAGAGACAGCTTAGTGGGTAAAGCACTGCCATGAAAGTGCGAAGACTGGAGTTCAAATTTCCTGTTCTCACATAAAAAAGCTGGGTGGGAGCCAGGCAGTGGTGACACACTCCTTTAATCCCAGTGTTTGGGAGGCAGAGGCAGGTGGATCTCTGTGAGTTCAAGGGCAGCCAAGGCTGCACAGAGAAAACCTGTCTTGAAACACCAAAAAAAACAAAAACAAAAACAAAAAAAAAACTGGATGGGGTGGTAGCTTGCCAGTCATCTCAGAAGGCAGGAAGACAGGGAATCCCTGACTAAACAAGATGGTGGAAACATCGAGTGCCAGGTTCAACAAGAGACTGGCCCCATATATAAGGTAAAGGAAGCCACCTGGCATCATCAACCTTGGGTCTCTACATGCACACAAATGCATTGGCACCCACATGCAGACATTCACTTCCAAACACACACACACACACACACACTCAATTTCTTTAAAATCCACAAAACAACAAACCATCAAAACCCCTCAAAGGTAAATGGGAAAAGACATTAACAAAGTCCACATAGAAAATAGTTATCTCTAAACAAAGATCAAAGTTAAAACTTAATATTTAATTTTATACCTATTTTTTATTGCAAGGTTAAAATGAAGCACAAGCACACAGACAACACACACAAAGACACAGACAATTCTAGCAAAGTCTGCAGTGAAAGTGTTTCACTTGTATACAGATGACAACATTCACTGTGCACAGGCCCAGCCTTCTGGGGAAACAATCTGGCAGCCCCTGATTCTTGGTGCTTATCAAAGAATTTGACCAGAGGTCCCACTGCTTAGAATATTTATTATTTACATAGTCCCCATATACATGCGGGCTGTTCCAATCAAAGGGAACTAGCTCAAAGATATTTGCTGTAGTATCACCTACCAGAGGATTTATCTATGAACAACCTAAATGACTACCAAGAAAAGAAAACTTTAGTAAATCATGGCTACATCTCTACAATGGAATACAGTGCCAACATTTTAAAGAAATGACAAAAAATAAGCTTATGTGGAGATAGGCAGAAAACTATTTATAATTGATCACGAGACTGTAAGAATAAATGAAATGGGCTTTGACACTGTAAAGGGACATGAATAATTAATGACGATGATGTATTACCATATGAGGGGAATGTGGCTGATTCATTTTCCTAAAATTTTCTTTAATCTTGCCGATACATCTTTCAATTAAAATTAGATGACTGCAAAGCCATCTCGGGACGGTCTACTCACGGTGCTGAGCTTGCTGCAGATGATGAGGATCCGGCGCTCGTACAGCATGCTGGCATACAGATGCAACATGTTGTTCACATCCACAGCCACAAAATATTCTGTCAGATTTCTCTAGGAGAAAGAAGAAAGCAAGGCTTGTGGCTTAGTTTGTTTGTTCTTATTACGAATAGTATCTCATAAAATCATGAGAAAGAGAAAATAATCAGAAGGCATGTGCTCCTCTTCCCCTGCCCAACTCTTTCTACCTGGGAAATCATGAAATGCAAAGTTCAAAGAGGCCTTGGAGATGAGCAGCCTGAGCAACTGTATCTTTGTGTGGTGATTATGGGTTACAACTCAAGGTCGTACACAGCAATGTGTTTGCTTTTCATGTTGCTCCAAAAGATGAGAGGCACAGGAATTCTACAATCTCAAAACGAGGAGACTAAGGCTGAAGGAGATTCTCCAAGATCAAATGGTCTAATAAGCCATGAAGACAGGACTCTCCTCTGATCTTTGGACCCTAGGCTGTAGAACTTTTCCAACGCACTACGTGTGCCGTGCATCCTAGCAAAAGAAAGTGTCTAAGCTTCACGAACAGGGCCTGTTTCTACCCAGTAGATCCTAGTACAAAGGCAGGGCTTTGCCTGTCCCACCCTTACTGTTGGTATCCATAGCATACACTCTCCAAACTGGCTCTGCTAGAATTAAAGCAGTTTCAAAGACTTACACCTCCCAAGCATTTCACTAAAAAGGATGACAATATAGATAAACAGTAGCAAATTGTGGCACTAGAATATTTTAGCCAGCTTTTGTTTTCCCCCTGTAACCTGGATTTCATTCCTTTAATTAGCATTATGGATTAGAACTCTTCAGATTTAAGCAGGGAAATGGAGAACATTTCATTTCTTCAACCTTTTCTATATCCACCTGATGTTAATAATACACACAAATATGCTAATTTCTTCAATGTTAAAGGGTTTCAGTGCTGCACAAAATAATTCTCGGGAAACGAAAGGAGGGAAAGAATGCTATTGCTACAAGTGGCAGTTTATCATGATTAAAGATCTACAACCTATAATTTAAGCAAAGCAGTAGATTTTATATGCAAAATAGCATAATGTGCTTTTCAACAATATTATACTTGAGGATAATAATGAGCACTTATCTCATGATTTATTACTATTCGACCAGAGAAGTAGGCTAACCACCAAACTTCACAAATAAAGAACAAGAGGATTGATAGCCCTATACACTGACTAGTCCTCTATACTGTCCCTCCTTGATATTGCTCACTCCCTATCCACTAGGATGAGGCTTTACACAGGTCAATTTGTTTAACCTAAAAGCCATTCCTTGTACTTGGTGTAACTTACTCTATTTAGAGTTGCAAAACAGAGGCACAGGAAAGTAATGTAAAATGACAAGGGTACATGATATGTGAACAACAGAAAATGCAATCTAGGGTTTAAATATATAATACCTTAAGGGATAAGTTAAAATAGCATATGCAAAATAATATTGAGTATAGGGGGGAAAAAAGGAAATATATGTGCAAAAAAGGGGTAATCCCCCCTACTCCCAGAAATTGTTGCCTATTTATAGAGAAATCCTTACATGACAGACAATGTGTGATTTACCTATGTTCTTTCTATTCCTTCTAATAACCTTTAGGTAGGTATTACTATGTCTCCACGGAGAAACTAAAGCTTAGAATGCCTTAGTTGTTTTTAAAGATCACCCGGTTAGAAAGGGCAAAGCCAAGAGTAGGTCTCTTAAATCTAAAACTTATCTGTTAACCACTATACCAGCTTGCCTCCTAACAAACTCCATGAAAAAAATAAAATGAGCACGAAAGGCGGATGAAGCTGGGCAAGAAGCATTTCTCTGCCTAGTGGACTGAGGAGCACTGAGTTAATGATGTCAGGGTGGGGTTTGTTCCCGAGCCAGTGACACGGCAGAGCAGTTTTCACAAACAAAAACACAAGACCCTCAGCTGAGCATTTCAGAGAGAGCTTAAATGCTGATGAATTATATGAATTTTTCTTTTAGAAGAGGATAGAAGTAACAAGAAAATAGAAATGAGGAGCTTAAAGAAGGCCAGAAAGCCCATTAGCACTTTTGACAGATCCAAAGATAACTCTGAAGCCACCAAAACGTGGCCTCAAGAGTCTGCCAAGAAGCTTCACGCTGAGGAGAAATATGTTACACAGCTTGCCGTCCAAATAGGGAGACACAGCGTCAGAGACAAATCCTGTGCCTTATTTTGGTGGGAGGAAAAAAAATCACAAGGATACTTTTGTTGGATAGGGAAGGGTGTGTTTCTGAAATAAAAAAAAACACCACTCAAATGAGGCAGGACCCAATTCCCAGTCAAGATCAGAGGGACTCAGGTGCTTGGTCCAAAACTCTACACAGGTATGTTAAAAATATGTAACATTTAGCCAAATTCTTTCTAAACTGTCATGTACTTTTTTTGGTATTTCTCATCCCATCTGTGCTGATCACCAAGATATTTGTGTCTAAACAGAAGCTGTCTCTCTTATCTGCTTCCTCCCCTGCCTCTTTCCTTCTGGGATGCCACCCGCCAGAGTGGGAGGGAGTGCCAACGGCCACAACCCAGGAACTTCTTGGACTGGTGAGTACTTGCAGGCCAGAGCGGGCCTTGGCTTACTCTTAGCTCCTGCCAAGCTTGGGCTCAGAGAAAGCCCCTTGGAGAGAGGGATCTCCCTTTTGCTGTTAAGTGCCCAAAAGCTTTAGGCCCACAGTAAACCTCAACTTCTCAGTCTTGCCCTGCCATTTCCCACCCACCAGGCCTTTACTTCTTCCCAGAATACTCTTCTTTGCTCTAAACATGTCCATTTATTTGACAAGGTCAGCCCTTGTGACACCTCCTGGAAGTTCCTGGACTCTTCTGCCAATGCTCCTTTGTGTTTCCATGGCAATTTGTCCCTATCTTATAGTAACTCAGATTTAAGTATATATATATATATATATATATATATATATATATATATATATATATATATATATATATTTGTACTAGGCTGAGTACCTTTGTGCAAATTACAAATCCCAACATCTAGCAGTTTGTTGAAAGAATAAATCCATATGTGGAGGAAAAAAGTGGTTGAAGACTACCTGTCCCTTGGCTCTGGTATGAGCGGGGCACAGGAGAATGGTCTAGCAGAGATGGTGTAGTATATCAGGAAGAAAAAGGCACCAGACTAAAAATCAGGCTGTGAGCCAGATGAGGTGATCAATTAATTACTCAGTGCTGATGAAAGACTCACAGAAAAGAAGAGAGGATAACAATTGTGTGTCAAAAAGATCTCCTTGAGGTTGCAGAGATGGCTCAGAAGTTAAGAGCACTGGCTACTCTTCCACAGGACCTGGGTTCAATTCCTAGCATCCACATGGTAGCTCACAACTTTCTGTAACTCCAGTTCAAGAGGATCTGAAATCTCTTCTGGCCTCTGTGGACACCATGCACACACATGGTGCACAGACACATACATGCAGGCAAAACAGCTCCACACTAAAGAAAAAAAAAATCTCCCCAAAGCCTATGGCAGATGGAAAGAAGAAGGCAAATGGGAGGCCCTACTGACTGACCCCTTAATTGGTTACTGCCACATTCCAGGGGTGCAGGGGGGAAGAATCCAAATGTGTGAACAAGTCAGAAGAAAGCTTTAGTATACACATGAAAAATACTTGTAAGCCCAGGACTTGACAAAATTAGACTTGGAAAGGGGAGGAAGAATGGCTCACTGGCTCTATGGCCTCCATGGCTCTAAGGTTCTATGCACCACACCTGCTGTTTGTCCAAACATTTCAGTGTCTATTTGTTTAAAAGTGTTTCAACCCTCCTTCTAAATAACTACCATTCCTGTCGATCCCAGTATTTCTGCTTCCTGTTCCTCAGCTTAGAATCTTGGACCATTGCAACCCCATCACAGCCAAGCCCAAGCACCTGCCCCATCATCCTCTGCCAGTTACTACCACATAATTCACCTGCTAGGAAAGGAGAACCTTACCTGGAGGACTATTTCCTGGGCTCTGGTTTCTGGGCTCTGGTCTTAGTTTATTTAGTGCCAGTGTGTCTCTAGGCTTAAGGAGATGCCTTTCCTTGCTTGGACTTTATTATACACTGTCCACCTCACCAATTCTCTGTAGGGCTGGACAGCTGGGATATGAAGGTATCCAATTTCCAGTCTGGCCAGAACTCAGATGCTAGGGGTACTCCAGGCAGTGCAGCATGGAAGATGAATTTCAGAGAAGGTATGTGCTGCAGTAAGTCCTTGAACTCTTAGCTTCTATTTCTCATTTATATAAAAAGAATTTGGTGAAGGTCTCAATTCAGAGAAAAAGGAGAGCAACAACACCTGGCAATCCTCATGCTCCTGAGGCGCACCTCCTAATAGATGTTCCTTCCTTGCTGCCTGTTGGCTCAAGCACCAGCTTAAGTGTCTGGGGACTTCACACTCACTGTGATCCATGCCTGAGGTTATGAAGCAGGTGGAGGTTGGGGGTGGGGTTGGAACGGGTTGAGCCCAGGAGGGGATATCGTGTGGCTTAGAGAGAAAGCGTCTTAGGTTCAATACCATAGGGAAATGAGATAATCCTCAAACCAAAGAACCGACTCTAAGCTGGGTACTCCTTGGAGCCTTCTAAGCAGATGCTAGTCTGTCTCAGTCTGTCATCTGATTAGTCTCTGAGACTCACCACTGTACATGAATAAAGACTCACTGTGCCCACTCTAGATGCAGATTCCTAGGCCAGAGGCGTGGTTCTAAAAAGAGGTCTCAGTCTTAACATAACTCTTGCTCAAATAATTTACAACATGATTTTTTTTCTTTGAAGAGAGAGAGGGTCTTGCTACACTGTCCAAACTGGTCCCCAGATCTTGAGCTTCGGGCATCCTGACTGAGTGTTCTGAGTATCTGAGAGGCCAGGCATGCTGTGTCACTTGGCCTAACTTTTATAATATAAAAACAGTTTAAGCCCTTAAGTGATTTAAAAAAATGATTTAAGTTACCTTAGTGGCACCAGATTCTTAAAAAGGAATTATAAATTTGGGGTTCTAAAATAATCTGCTCAAGAAAAAAAAATGCACAAATTCATTTGAGTAG